GCCTTCTACGGCGAAAGAGTGAATGCAAGTGCTTGTCCAACCACTCGCAGAAAGGGCTTTACTCGCCAAATCAAAGAGGCGACACCCCCGCCCGGCTAAGGATACATTGACTAGATCCTTACAAAGACAGAACCAACGTGATCGACCACGTGGTGTCGTTCAAATCATTAGGCAGTCTGCTCCAGATCGATGACCTTATAATGTGTCGTCTTTTCCTAACCACCTTGAAGAATTCAACCCTTCGGTGGTTCAACGGTCTGCCAATTGTAACCGTCCCAAGATACAACGAGTTTAAAAAAACTCTTTATTTCACACTTCTTAAACGTACGGAACCCGAGAAAAGACTCGGAGTACCTTGCTAGACTTCAAGCAGCGAGAAAATGAGAGTCTGCGGGACTTCATTACCCATTTCCAGAACGAGATGCTTGAAGTTTGGGATCTGAAGCTTGATATAGTCGAAACAACTTTGAAACGAGGAGTCTAAAGCAAAAAAGTTTGGGTATGACCTAAACATATTTAAACATACTACTTTTATAGAGATATTGGACATGGCGAACGAGCACATACTTGCTGAAGAAGACCTCCAGGGTCCTTGAATGGCAAGTTGGAGTCGCCTGATCATCCCACAAAGAAGCTAAAAGAACGAGGCGAATTGCAGAAATCGAAAGACAATCAATCCTCCATCGGTCACCAGAACAACAACTCTCTGTCCCGGGATCAACGGGGAAATGACCGAGGGCACCATGACCAGAAGCGACTATCTGATCAACATTCGGGTCAATATTATGAGTGACCTCATGTTTACCGGAAAATGCATGGTTTTGTGCCCCTTAACGTATCAATGATTGAAATAGTCGAGGCCATCAAGAACAATGACTATTTCGAACCTGCTCCGCCACTGAAGGCGGTCTCGGCCGAAACCTGATTGAGGAACTTATCCATGTCGGAAAGCTAAAATAGTTTGCTGTTGTCGGTGCTCATACACAACGATAGGGAAAAGCTCCTGCAGGAGAATACACAAACGGACCTGTTAGGGTGAATGAAATCCACGTAGCAAGAATAATCCCAGTCATCTTCGGAGGACGACCTCGAATCTCCAGCTTAAAGAGGCCGCTTTCGGGGGAGGTATGCTCCGTCGTCTCGTATACATTGAACCATTTACCAGTTGTCTTTATAGATGCAGATCTCCCCCCGAAAGGGAAACTCTACAATGAGGGGATTGTTCGTGATGACATTGATCAATAGGGCTGTCAAAATGGCTCGTTGTTCGCAAGCAGCTCGTGTTCGACTCGTTCGCTAAGTTAACGAGCCGAACACGAACAAAGATTTGATTGTTCGTGTTCTGCTAGTGTTCGGCTTATTTTGGTTCGAAAAACTACTCATCAATTATATATATATATATATAAGTATATGTATATATTGGTGAGTATTATT